AAAATCGACCTGTCGTCGATTTTTGTTCGAACGGATCATTCACACGGAGCACGGATTATCATTAAAAAACCCGCACTAAGCCAGTGATCCTATCGAAGCCGTTTGCGGTTTCGTTGGTGTTTGTAACGTGAAATGCTATTCACTGCATGTAATTGATTTTTCAGAAAAACCCTCGTCCATTTTGCAGAAACGGGCAGGAATTCAAGAAAGCCTGCACAAATGCTTGGTACCGGCTAGGAACTCACGGGCTTATGTAAAGCTCATCAATCTCTTGTTGAGATGCGCCATGCATTCTACTTCCACTCAGATCGTGGTGACATTTGAACGCGATTTGGCCTACACCATGACTTGCGGCCAGTCAATGTAGGCACGAATCACTGTCTTTTACCCTCCCAAACAGGTACGGTACCAACTGTGCGACCCTGGAGGCTAGCACGACGTACGACTCAGGAATTGATCCTTAACCCGTGTGCGTGGTAGGTAACGCTACCAGCAGCGGATCAATTTAGATACGCCTTCACATCTGTGCATTGATAAATACTTCATAGAATCAAGAACCATTACCATAGAAAGTCTGTAGGGGACTCTTTTATGTGGGCCGGCCCCGAAAAAGCGCGAGGAACTGGCTAGAGTGTTGACCAACTCAGCCCCAGTCCAATTCATACATGTGGTTGAAAGCGAACTCGACTGTAGAGGTCGAAAAACTGACTTGTGGGACGCCACCCTTCCTGCTCACTTTTCCTGTATAAGTTAGATAGGGATTGGAAAGCCACACTTAATCCACACATAGCCGGAATAAAATTCGGGTGCATGGCGTATTCCGAGCCTCTCGAGTAGCCCAAGTATTGAATGATTTTAGCTTTTACATGCATTCATTCTTTTTTCATCCGTCAGAGAGAGTGCTATAAGTTCATGTGACCACATCAAGTGAAAGGTTGCCACGCCTCGGACAAAAATGACGTCATTATTATTTTACACCCTCTGTTCAAAGTACAATCGGTCGTTTTCGTGGTGCTATAAATATGCAAACCGGTTCATTGAAGCATTTTTGGCTACGAGAACAAAAATTCCATCGTTATCAACTATCACTGAGCGCAGGGAAATATAATTTGAATCACATCAAATCACCACTTACAGCTCTATTTATAGCCTATTTGTGACAAATTGACCCGGATGTGGGTACCTGTTACCTTGGTTCGCTCTTTTGAAAATGACTAATCATCTGGTTTTCTCCCTCTCAACAGAATAGCACAGAAGTAGTAAACTTACTCGAGATTGCCGATTTTTCCCACACTGATCTTTCGTAGTTCGACATTTCCGACGAACGGATGCTTTCCGGGAGAGTTACGGTAGAACAATCCGTAGGTAATGAACAGAAACAATGAAACGGCGCCATGAGCGTAGAAAATTGACGGCCATCTGAAATTCAAAGATCTTCTAAAGCTGCTTTTCAATAGATCGATAGTAAAGCACCAAGATTAAGGCGATATGTCCCACAATTCCTTTTTTTACTGGACTTTGCTTGGTCCCGAAAACCACACATTATTACA